CGATTGACGAGCTCCCGCTCAGTCAACGAGTTGTCAGTGCATGTGTGTGCCAGTGTCCGCCGTTGAGTTTTGCTCCCAGGGCGTGGGCCCTCGGTTGCCTGCAGCCAATCAGTGAACTGATACATCTTGCTTGGCTATGTTTTGCAAGACAAGCGTTTCAGATGACGAGCTTGGTACTGGAACGGACTAAACTCGTTAACCGAGGTTCCACTGCATAGGCATTTGTTAGCAAATCTATCCTTAATCACTAAACGGGCATAACTTGGCCATCACGCAGTTGACCTATTAGTTTTGATCTAGGGTGTTCACGCTGCAGATATTCGAACAGACTGTGTTCCGAACTTGTTCAGGGTTTCTGAGAAATTTAATAAAAAGAATCCTAGAATTGGAATGCTCGTACTCTCTTTTATCGGCAATACTTAAGAGGGGAGGGGGGTGGTCTTTTCTATTTGCGACTGTGGCACTGGGCGTAAAAACCTTCCGTTGATTATTAACGAGGTTACTGCAAACCTTGCTTATCTTTAACGCCATCACGAGTACTCCTGATCAACTCTTGCACCGCAGTTGGTATAGTCTTGAATTTTTAATTTTAATGCAATTTTTAGTCATTTGGCGGTGTCTCAGCACCAGTATCATCTTCCTCTACCTCTTCGAGGAACGCAGCAGTCTGTTGATACTTGTTCCATCCGGTATCAGCGTTCTCATTGAATATTGGAAACTGATGCGCATGACGAAGATCACACTTACTTTCCGAGACGGCCTGTCGATAGGCACACGCAACAAGGAGGAGCAGGAGACTGACCAACTCGACGCTTATTTTATGCGCTGGCTAATAATGTTTATGACTCCTTTGTGCATCAGCGGCGCCATATACTCCCTCCTCTACATGCCCCATCGCAGGTAAGGTTCCTGTTTATGCCCCCTTAGAGACGTTTGTGCATGTCACAGCTTCGTATACTTAACCATGCGTCTGCGACGCAAAGCTTAATCTTTGCGGACGTAAGCTCATTGTGCTGTAGGTTTCAATTCCATCATAATTTACACCTATCTTTTGTGTTTCATGCCCTTTTCAGTTGGTACTCGTGGTTTCTCCAAACAGCTGTTAACGGTAAGTAATTTTCCTCCAGTCCCTTAGCTCGGGGATTGCCTTTAAAGTTGACTCTTGACTCCATCACAAGGACTGGGCAAGGAAACAGTAATTTGAAATACTTCGTAATAGTATTGCTACTGCAATGTTGTAGGTAGGCGTTTTTAAACCTCTCCGTTTGCGATGATATAGGCATTCCGAGTTTTTCACGACATTTGTAAAGCCTCATCTAACTAAATTCATTTAGTTTGCGTATAAAAAGTGCTCTCTGGTGCAACCTAAGCAAACAAAGAAAGTTTCCTTATACTTTAGCCTATCTCTCCCCACCATTTAAACTTGACTCGAAAATATAGTCTTCTTCGAATATTAACTACATGTTTAAGGACGTTATTGATTCCCGCTATTGATCCCGTAATGCCTAAGAAGGCACACAGAGGCAGTAAAAAACGTCTTTAACCGGTCGAGATTGACGCCCGTGATTTATGCGTCAATAGAAAGGACGTAACCTGTTGTCGGATGAGGTGCTTCGTATTGTCCGGCTCCTGGG